TATGCAACTCAGTCCACTAGTCAGTGACTTCATGGATTTGTGCCATGTTTTGGTCCAATGTTTGTTCATCCTTCGCATGTCTGTCTCCGTTTCTCGGCGTAATATATTCCTTGGCCTTCCTCTTTTCCTTTAACCTTGAAGATTCCAGGTGAGGTCTTTGAGTCCATATGTACTATTGGTATTATTCAGTCAAGGTTTTTTTATGTCCTTTAGAGAGATCCACTGTACCAATCAACTTGGTTTAAGCCCTCATCGGACATCCTATTTTCGTCCACACGATTTCACAACCAACATCCTTTCCATAAGAATGTAGTGATTAGGACTTCCCCTGGGTAGTGGCTATACACGTGTATAGCCATATGAAAGCACTTTTGGAGGGGGGAGGAGAGCCCCCACTAATCTCGGCTATACCATAGCATATATGCGGGCAAAATTGGCTAGAGGTAAATTGCGACCCGTTCTCAGATACAATTACATCTGGTAGGCCATTCCGGGAGAAAATTTCAATGAGGATCTGTATTGTTTTAGTTATTGTTGTCGGCGGCGGCATTACAGGGCTGACTTCTGGCCATTTTGAAAGGGCGTCGACCACAACTAAATACATAGTTTCATTAATTAGGCCCGCGAAGTCAAAGTGTATCCTGGACCAAGGATGATCAGGTTGTCGCTATGAAACTGGCTCAACTTTGGCATTCACCTTTGCCACTTGCTGACACTGCATGCATTTTCCAACCAACTCAGTGATATGTTGATCCATTAGGCGCCAGTTTGCATAACTCCTGGCTATGGATTTCATTCGTCTAACTCCCAGATGACCAAGGTGGAATTGTTTCAGCACTTTTGTGCGAAAGGATTCTAGCACAATAACTCTTTCTCCAAACATCAAGCAGTCGTTTACAATGCATAGTGAATCCCACCGCCTATACAGCTGCTTCATGTCACCATCAAATTTCTTAAACGGCCAACCGTTGGTGACATAGCTTATTGTCATCTTGATGATGCGGTCGTTCCTAGAAGCATTTTGTATGTCTATTGCAAACACCGCTAATGCCTGTATTGCGGATGTCAGATAACATTCCGTGTGGTCTTCCGTTGACTGAGATGTGATTATCATGTTTCCCTCAGCCTCCAATTCATCCATTAATAAGTCTTGATAAAGCCTCTTCCTGACCGCATTGTTGAGTACACACAAATCAACCTTATTCATACAATAATAGCAATGCCATTAGGAGAGCCATAAAAATAACATACTAAAATAATTCATCAACCAATGACAGTTTAGGATTGTTCGAGTGGGAAATGTCAACTGAAAGGTTAAAAAATAAGCGTCTTTGGGGCGCGAAAACATGAAAATTCAAAATTACCAAGTAAGTTCTAGGGATCTAACATCCCCAATACTGAAATATATATTATTAAATAATAAACGGTACATTTATATACATATATATTATTAGGGAAAAAGAACAAATAATTTCATTCTTACTTGATCCATAATATGAATAATAAGTGGCCATAAAAATGCAGCAGTTTTACCACTTCCTGTTTTTCCTATACCAATAACATCACGTCCAGCTAGAATTAATGGAACAGCTTGTGATTGAATTGGTGTTGGTTGTGTATAACCAGCTTTACGTATTGCTTCCATTAATGGTTCATCTAATCCAAGATGTGCAAATGAACAAATTGGTCGTAATGGACTAGGTCCACTAACACGTAAACCAAGTTTAGCACGTAATGCATCCACGCCAACTTCATCTAAACTAGATATTTCCACATGTTCCACATAGAAATTTTTAGTAAATGGTGCATAATTTATCATGGAATGATCAATAGCCGGTAAAGGATCGATCACCTAATAAGGGGTATTATTATAAGTAGACAAAGAAGAATAAAGATTATATTGTATCCTTCACTATTGATTGATATTACGTGATAAATACAAAATATGCCTATTGGAATAACGCTTGAGCACGAGAAACCTTGAGTCAGCTCTAATTCCCCAATTGGTTCATAATTCCATAGTATCTTTTTTTTCCCGGTTTTTAACCTAACCAGAACTTCATAGTCAACTTCCACAAAATTCATTATATTACAAGCAGATATAGTGTGTCAGTTAGTGTTACGCTGGTCTCAACTATTATGAGCTCATCTTAGTCGAATAACGAGAACAAACAATGAACCAGCGTCCAGGTAGGCTACTCTGATCCCTTGACCAAATTGTACCAGCAAGATGTCTTGATATAGTGTAGAAATTGTATTCTACAAACACTCGACCAGCACACAATCGATCCAAGTACTCAAATTACGTTTATTTATAATCTATAGAGACGTCCTTGGGTCAGTCACAAAAATAGCACACTAAAACGACACAGTAACCAATCACAGCCAAGGATTTTCCTGGTGGGAAATGTGATCTCAAGGTCAATTGATCGGCCCATGAAATAAATCCAAAATAAAGATATTTATCAAGCAAGTTCTGAGGATCTAACATCCGCAACAGTTAGTCAGTCAATCAACTAAAACACAGAACATGGTACGTATGTACACATTAGTTCACAAGGTGCCATACTATATTAGCACAAAGAGACTGAATTGTCAGCTTAAATCTTAGAGTAGTAGAGGTTGCAGTAGTATCAGCGGTGATCAGAAAAGATTAGTGGTCGAAGATACCATTCGAGAAGTATAATCCAGTGAAATAAATTTTCGAAAAGAACAATAGAGGTGATACGGAGTTCAGGAGATTGGAATTTAAAAGAACACAAAGCAATGGATACATCTGCAACAAAATCTCTAACCATAGGTTACAATCATTTCGTGAACCGCAACCGCGTAGTCTACACCCACCAATATGGCTCAGTCAAGTTATCAGTGACTTCTTGGATTTGTACCATGTTTTGGTTTGGCCGCACCTGGCTTTCTTCCAGCTTACCCCTAACACCAAGTATCATTGCTCGCCAAGGCAGTTGGTGGCTGGGCATTCGTAATACATGTCCCAACCACCTCAACTAAGGAAGTTTCACTACTTCGTCTATTGATCTACCATCCCTACTTAGTACTCAATTCCAAACAACAGCACTGCTCATTATTCAGTAGTCTCAGGATATACGACCGGTTACAATTGTCTTGTGGACCTCAAACCAAGCAGTCTACACTTATTATTAAGATGTTGTATACCAAATCAACTAGTTTACATCCCAATATCATAGAATGAGAAAATACATTTTTTTTTATAAATGAGCAAGTCAAAATTGGATATGAATAGGGGAGAGAGTCTGTGAATTCTAAACTGGCAACAGATTAGGAATAGTAAACTACAGAAAATTAATCAATAGGTCAATCAAGAGCTTATGAAAAAGGAATATAAATAATAATAATAACAATAATAATAATAATAATAATAATAATAATAATAATAGCATGTCCAGCCACCGTATTCGATCATACGTGACTTCGAAGCATAACTCGTATATACTGGGACTACTGAGTAAGCAGTGCTGGGATTCGGAAAAGGGTGCCAGGTAAGGATGGCAGGTCAATAGATGAAGTAGTGAGTGTTCATCAACTGAGGTGGTTTGGATATGTGTTACGTATGTTCAACCACCAACTACCTCGACTAGCGATGTTTTGTGATGTAGGAATAGGTTGGAAGAAATCTAGAGGAGGCCAGACCAAAACATGGCACAAATCCATGAAGTCAGACAACTGGACTGAGTCATGTTGGAAGGTGTAGGCTACCTGGTCGGAGTCCGCGAGACGATACTGACCGACACTTAGGGACCTTGAATGACATGGCTCAAAACCGTTTGCAATGGCGCAGGCGCATTCATTGTTTGTGTTTGTGGATATACGTCTCGAACCATATCGTCGATTCCTAATCTTTTTTATTAGCGCTAAAAATTTTTACTACTCAGTCAGCTACAACATACAACTAAGTACGTTCTTTATGAATATATCACTTATTATTAAGTTTCAAAGAAGTTACGGTTCTTTCTTCTTGATCTGCCTTACTTTTGATCATGTAATGCATACATATAATCTGATTATGGGCGGATCGTTTGCAATGGCGCAGGTGCATCCATTCTTTGTGTTCTATGAAATTCTAAGCTTCTGCATTCCTCATAATCTCTACATTTCTCCTTCTAAATTTATCTTATTGAATTATACTTCTCGAATCAAATCTTCACTCCCTAATTTTCTCGATTACTGCTAATACTTCTATTATTGCTATCACTTTTGGATTTGAACTGACAGTTGCGTCTCTGTGCTGATGTGGTATGGCAACCTGAACTGATGTACTTACGTACGAAGTTATGCGTTGTATCCGTCTGTCTGTTTGATTATGGGTGGATACTACTCACAAAATGACATATAAGTAGTGTGCAGTGGAGCGTCACCTACAAGTTGCCACGAGAGAGAGAGAGAGGGGAGTGTCTGAACATCGAAATGTATGGTGCAGTTAGATTATATTGAAGACCAGAAGAGAAATGAGAGAAGACAGCAAACGACCATTGAAAACTATGGACACGTATTTTGGAAATAAACTGTGTCATCTCTAAATATTGATGAATATTTCATTTGGTCTTGATGGTGGATGAAAGTAATTAAGTAAGTAAGTAAGACATATACATATATATGCAGCTGGTCGATTTGGACTTCGCAGATGATCTGGCTGCTCTATTGCACACGCAAAAACAAATGCAAGAGAAGACGACCAGTGTAGCAGCAGCCTCTGCAGCAGTAGGTCTCAACATACATAAAGGAAAAAGCAAGATTCTCCGATGCAACACAACATGCGCCAACCAAATCACTCTTGATGGAGATGCCTTGGAGCACGTTAACACCTTTACGTATCTGGGCAGCATCATCGACAACCAAGGTGGATCGGATGCAGATGTGAGGGTGCGGATTGGCAAAGCAAGGGCTGCATTTCTACAGTTGAAAAATATCTGGAACTCCACACACCTTTCAACCGAAACCAAAATCAGTAATTTCAATACAAATGTCAAGACAGTTCTAATGTATGGAGCGGAAACTTGGCGAACTACCAAAGCCATCATCCAGAAGATACAAGTATTCCTTAACAGTTGTCTACACAAAATATTTCGGATGCGTTGGCCAGACATCATCAGCAACAACCTACTGTGGGAGAGAACAAATCAGATCCCAGTGGAGGAAGAAATCAGGTAGAAGCGGTGAAAAAGGATAAGACACATTGCGAAAAGCACCGAACTGCGTCACAAGACAAGTTCTGTCTTAGAACCTTCAGGGTAAAAAAAATAGAGGAAGGCCAAAGAACACATTACGTCGAGAAATGAGGAGAAAGATATGAGAAAAATGAACAAAAATTGGAAAGAATTAGAAAGGAAGCTGGAGGACAGAGAGTTGGTTTAAGAAAAATGGTTGGCGGTATATGCACCATTGGGGGTAACAGGCGTAAGTAAGTAAGTAAGTAAGTAAGTAATATATATATATATATATTACCCCCTATTAATGATACAATGAGAAGCAAAGAAAGAGAAGAAAATTCACATTCACTTACTTTTTTCTCTGTACCAATAATATTTCCATCAGCATCATATTCGTATACTTCTTCTTCGTCATCATTACCAAGTAAGCCAAGATGTGGATTCTCTTCCATAAATCTAAGATACGATTCAATTTCATCTTCTTGTTCAATATCATCACGTACACCTCTATGGAAAGAAAATATAAAATAATTGACTATAAAAGATACTGTTTATTGATTGATCGCGGGATAGAATTTATATTTGAACACGTAAAAAAAAAAATAATACTTAGGCACCACACAATTTTTTTGTGTGAATAGGCTAGGACATTGCTTGGATGCTCAAACCAAAGCCGGTGGTCTCCTTTCCTTGGCGGGGCGACACTCCTTGAGCCGTTGACCTAGGGGCTTAATCATCCATAAGGCAGTGAGTGAATCAATGTCAGGAGATTCAGTTCCATGGTAGCCGGTGATCAACTATAAGTTCATACGCCATTTGTTCTTTCGGGATCCTATATACACCATAGGTTGTGTATGAAAGTTTTCCAACTGCTCTAGGTGAATCCTCTGTGTCTAACAACTCGGTTGGTCGGACATTTGTCCGAAATTTCCTAGACAACACCGCCCCCTACCACGAGAATGTAATGACTGAGATGTCCCTGATAGTGGCTAGACACGCGTGGCCAAATTAGAGCATTTCAAGTGGGAGAGCAAACTCTCTTTACTACCGATCCTACCAGGGCATTTGACGCCTATATCATACATATTACTTCGACATGATGAACAGGAAAAGAATGTAGGAACAATGATAATCAGAAAAGACTAAAATTTAAACTAAGACAAATGAGTGAATACATCTGTGGTGTGAGCTACTTATAAGTAGTATATGATGTGAGTCTCAACGTAATGTCTGGCAGCAGAAGATGGGGGGAAGATCAAGAAAGGAAGAAGAGTGGGAACACAATGGAATATGTATGAAACGCATGAATAGTGACAATGGATGGATGTTTTGCAACAGGAACAGTCCAGTTCCATAGGATGGACTGATATTTTGCAAATGAACGATTTACGATATGGTTTTCCAATTTTACTGAGTTAACTCTGTAATTTCCGTTAAATACAATTCGGCTGCCCCACCTGTGTTCTTGTTCACTATACATCGACACCATGGTTATTGAATCGGATCGATTTTTTTTCCCTCAATATCGCCAATTATTGATCACAGTTATCATAAGCATCTCAATCAGGTATTGTACAATCATCACTAAAACAGTTCAGTTTCACAGTCACAATAATTTTTATGGATTGATACAATATTGTCATAGTTTAAATTGTCCGTTAGTTTTCTTCCAACTCATTTTGTACTCTCTCTAAAAAGAATGCTCCAATCTTGTTGGAGACGTTAGAACCCCAGATTAGGTGAGTCAAACAGTCAGTAAGATGCAATGTAGAACTTCGTACATAAGTACATCAGTTCACGTTGCCATACCACATCAGGAGCACAGAGATGTCAGTGTCAATTCAAATCCAATAGTAGTAGAGGTAGTAAAGGTATTAGAAGTAATCGAAGAGGTTAGGATTAAAAGATATATTATTCAAGAAATATGATTCAGTGAGAAAAGTTTAGAAAGTCAAAACTAGAGGGGTTGAACAATCCAAAAGATTAGGATTTGAAAGAACACAAAGAATAAATGCATCGGCGCCATTGCGAACGGTTTTGAGCCATGTCATTCAGGGTTTCTAACCATTGATTATTATCATCTTGCGGACCCCAACCAGGTAGTCGACAACTACCGACATGGCTCAGTCAGTGGGGGCATAGGCAGATACGACGAAGAGGCAACGGCGAGTGTCCCTATCTTTCCGAGTCCTTACTGCCCCGTTCAGTCGGACAGCGCACAATCGACTATCTACAGGGATCCAGTCAAGGAGCGCTAGTTCCGCCCTACACCTCAATGCTATGCCTACGCCAGCAAGACCCCTGGAAGCAGCATCACATGTATATTACGTATATATTACACATTTATCGAAAAATCAATATTATGGAATATTGTTAGAAAAGATTAACCATAAAATAATAGTATTTAAAATTGTTTCTTTTTCTCTTCCTCTCTCTCTCTCTCTCTTTCTAAGGACTGATCAACTTGACATACTTGCATCTCATCCGACTGTGTACAACCGAATAGAGAGCTATGTGGACTCTGACGTCTGAAGTGAATGATACTGTGGTTCAACAAGTGTCCAAGTGAACTTTCTCACTCTGAAATGCCGTTACATTCAGCCAAAGACGAGTATTATCATTAAGTAACCATCATCAATCTATTGTGCTAATAATGCTTGTAGCTTAACGGCAACATCGAGGCAGTTCGCATAAGATTCGAGTAATCAATAAAAATGAAGTAAATGAATACACAGTCTTTTTATAGTCGTTCCCCTCCGCCGCACCGCACTGCACTGCATACACACGCACATACACACACACACGGGGAGTTCGTATACCACATAGACGAATGTGCATAAACAGATCAAGTTCAGTAAATAGTCATAATAATAATAATAATAAGCCGCTTACTTTGCATCACCTTTGGTACTTTTCTTTGTTTTACTTGATTCTTTAGTTGCAGTTTTCTCGCCAGAATGAAGTGTTCTAACCTCTTCCTATTATTATTTTTTGGGTACGTGAATAATTCAATAAGAAAACAAGTGATTTTGACATGTGAGCACACACACACAAACACGCGCGCGTGCGCGCACGCACGAATAACAAAAACAAAAACAAATAAATATGTATTGTTAAATAATACATGGAGGGAGTTGTTTAGTTATATTGAGGCACAGTTTTTGGAGGTTTGCGTTTTTACACATTCGAAATCATTAATCAATCATCATTGTTAGACCACCATTAGGAACCTGGAAGCACTGGACGGCCGTTTCGTCCTAGTATGGGACACCCTGTCGGGTGTAGGCAGTAACTACCAAAGACAAATGGGTGAGGTCACGCAAAATCCCTAGATCAATCAGAGTTAGACATTAACACCGTTGGATGCCGGCCCAGTGGTCCGATGGTAAGGCGTTCGCCTACAATGCCAAAGGTCCCGGGTTCGAATCCTGCGAGGAGCAGGAGTCGTGGATGCGCACTGCTGAGGAGTCCCATACTAGGACGAAACGGCCGTCCAGTGCTCCCAGGTTTCTAAAGGTGGTCTAACAATGATGATTGATTAATGATTTCAAATGTGTAAAAATTGTTTAGTTGTTTTGGTTAGACGCCTACCTAGGACCTTGAGAAGTTACTTGTCTTTCTGTTCACAGTATTGATTAACGTTATTTTGTGAATCTTTGGCGAAAGAAGAGAGAGGACGGAGTAATGTAACGAACGCTCTATCTAAGATTGCTGATAGATATATCTTACTGATTGATGATGAGTGTCAACTGGTATGGAACGTAAACCAAAGGGGGGTTTCCTATCGATCACCACCATCTATCTTACTTACGCCTGTTACCGCTTGTGGTGGAGGCGTTGGCCGACAATCAGCAATCAATAACCACTTCTATCGTCTGCTCTATTTTCCAATTGTTCTCAATTGCTATTCAATCCTTTCAGCTTAAATTCTCGGTACAATGTATTGTTCTTTAGTGCATTTATTGTCGATTACACTCACTAGTTATCTAATATTCAAGGACAGTAGTGTGTAGGTGCACAACTGGTTAGTAGGGTCATATTTTACTGATATTTTTTTTAAACACATGATCAATACGGAGAAGTATTAGGCAAAATATATGAAATTTGTTTATGAACATAACCAAGTGATAAATGATCAATGTCAACACAGAACTATTCACATCTATCTATTCATTTAATCAATGAATGTTGAATGAAAGCAAAATTACACATACACATGACATGCGATAGACATGATCATGAATTCAATTAATATTACAGGTTTTTTTGTGGTATAATGATAGGTCGGAAGAAAACTAGGCGTGGCCAGACCAAAACATGGCACAAATCCATGAAGTCACTAACAACTAGACTTAACCATGTTGGTAGGTTACGGGCATGAGGGCGGTTATCACTTTCCGGCTGCCCATACCGTGGAAAGGTGTTTCTTGAGGAACCTGAAAAGGAAGATAGATTAGTGTTGGTCTTAACGACCTGTGAGTGTGACCGCAGAGTCCAAGGGAAAACTCCTTGATGCCGGTCACGCACGATCTTTTTATGGGAAGTTTTTGAGTATTAGCATCGCTCTTGAAAGCACTTAGTGGGCACCTTTACCACCGGAGACGGAAATCCGTGAGGTAGGGTAAGGTGTGACATTTTTAGGGTCGACCTTTTCTAACCCTTCCTTCCTTGTCAGAAGGCAGCATCGTTGCAGATGCTGGTTGTCCGAGGGAAACACCTTACTGCTGTCACACCCCTCTGCAGTCAGCAGTACGATTTCGCCCTCAGACCTTGGGTAGCTGCTTTTAGTCTCATCGTTTTCCAATCGACCTGCCTGGCATGGTAGAACCTTCAGGGACATATGTTCGTAGGTATAGACTACCTGGTTGGGGGTCCACGAGACAATAGTAACCAGTGATTAAAGACTTCGAATCGTTTGCAATGGCCCAGATGTATCTGTACCAAGCATGGTGCAGTCAGTCAGTTAAAATGTAGAACTTCGTACGCAAGTAAATCAATTCAGTTTGTCATATCGCATTAGCACACAGAGGCAACTGTCAATTCAAATCCCGTAGTGGTAGAGGTAGCAGAAGTATTAGCTGTATTCAAAAACATTAGGGTTCCAAAATATTATTCAAGAAGTACAATTCAATGAAATAAGTTTAAAAAGAGAAATATATAGATCATGAGGAATTCTGAAGATTAGACTACGAGAGAATGCACTTGCGCCATTGCAAACCACTCTGAGCCAGTGAAATAAGTTTAAAAAGAGAAAGAAGTGATGACGAATTCAGAAGATTAGAATTTGAGGAAACACAAACAATGAATGCGCCTGCGCCATTGCAAACGGTTTTGAGCCATGTTATTCAAGGTCCCTAAGTGTCCGTCAGTATCGTCTCGCGGACTCCGACCAGGTAGCCTACATCTTCCAACATGACTCAGTCCAGTTGTCAGTGACTTCATGGATTTGTGCCATGTTTTGGTCTGGCCTCCTCTAGATTTCTTCCAACCTACTCCCACATCACAAAACATCGCTAGTCGAGGCAGTTGGTGGTTGAACATACGTAACACATATCCCAACCACCTCAACTGACGAACACTCACTACTTCATCTATTGACCTGCCATCCTTGCCTGGCACCCTTTTCCCAATCCCAGCACTGCTTACTCGGTAGTCCCAGGATATACGAGTTATGCTTCGAAGACACATATGATCGAATACTAGTAACATACGAATATCCTCTACTCTAACTGGTTATATTTCACACTCGCATAGTAGGACGGAGCTGTGTCTTCACCTGATATATATGGATATTCCATTTGGTGTGTTGACTTCTTCGTACGTTATACATGATGAGTTTTCATTTGTTAACATCCAATTCATGAGGAATTGTAAATAAGCCATTTTCGATTAGACTCATAGATAATCATTCATGAACGATACTCTATAAAGTGACCTTGAGGGGTAGAGAATGTTCATCTACGTAGTTCGTGTTTAAAGAAGATAATCAATTAGGTTAGGAATTCGATTCGGAAGTTTTTATCACAAACTAACATCTACTATAATGAAGCAATGAATTTCATGTCAAAATTCAACACTTGTTGTTATCTCAAATCTAACTGATTTCGTTTAATAAAAACAAAAGAAATAAAGCCAAATTAAAAACTGTGCATAAAACATACAATCATTCATGATTTCTTTACTACACATAAAGTATAATATTACTATCGGACAAACTTATGGTATGTAAACAGTTACGTAATACTGAAATCATCAAACAATCATTGTTAGACAACCATTAGAAACTTGAAAGCACTGGACGATGGCCGTTTCGTCCTGGTATGGGACTCATCAGTGACAGTGCGCAACCATGACTCCCACACCTTGCAGGATTCGAACCCGGGACCTTCAGTCTTGCGCGCGAACGCCTTACCCAACACCTAAGTGTGATTGATTTAGAGATTTTGCGCGACCTTTACCCATTTGTCTTTGGTAGTTACTGCCTACACTCGACAGGGTTGAACTCCACTGGTCACATCTTCTCACTAGAACTTTGAGAATTTCCTCACGAATCTAGTCAATAGTGAGCACATTTTACGATTTTTCAATTAGAGTTATGGAGATTGTTACATAATAAATGAAGTGTATTTATAAACTTTACATTTTTTTCATGATGCTTCAGAATGCTACAATGACTTTTTCTTATATTTAAGCACATGAACATTGGTATAAAAAAAAAGTGCACCTAAACATATTTAGGCACCACGAAAATTATTGAATTTGTGCGTAGTGGGTTGATTAAGCTACTGCTCAAATGCCTAAACGGAAGTGGGTAGTTAGTTTCGTTAGGAGGCCACTTGCTGAGCCTTTTGACCTACAGGTCTCCATAATCCATAAAACAGTGGAGCAGTGTTAGGAAATTGGTGCAGTATCATGGTAGCAGAGTGCGACCGACAATAGGTTAATACGCCGGTTGTTCTGTCAGGAGTTCATGTATACCATTAGTTTGGAATGAAAATTCTCATTAGAGCACCCGAGGATTAGATTATTTTTTTCCTAATTGACGTATTTTTATTGATTAGCCAATAGGATTTTAGGATATAAGGATAAATTATTTGACATATAGACATATACATTTAATGAAATAAACCTAATATATTCATGGTCAACCAACATGCCTGCTGCACATGCACATCGCTGCGTTGATATCCAGCGCAAGGATACTCACTGTTGCTAACATTACTGACCCCTGCCCCTTTCGGGTACATACATGTTGTCCGGTTTGGTCTGCAAACAAGTCGGACATCCAAAAAGCACGCATACGAGCAGTGGACCCTGCACGGGCACTTATGAATCAAGAAATCCCACCAACCAAACCACAGCCCACAATCCCCAATCGGCGAAGGCGGGCTTATCCTTCCGGACAAGGGACCCCGTAGCAGGTTACCGAGCCACCCAAGCAGTGCACTAACCAGCAGCCATTCCAACTGTCTGGCCTTCAACTGCCTTGCGTTTATTTCATTTAATGAAGCAAATCTAATATGTATATGAATAACTTTACTTACATTAATACCCGCCATAAATTGATCCAAAGGATCATCAGAATCATCTGATTGGTTATCCGTTTGATTTGTATGTTTCAAAGCAGCTGGACTTCCTGGAGCAGGTTGATATTCTAAATTATTGGTATCATCATCTTCTAAGAAGTAACTAGATAGTAAGTAAGAAGAAAAAAGAAAGAAAATAAAGAAATCATGATTGTCAATGGGATTTTGATGAGTATTTTGGAGTAGATTTGTCTATCAGTCAGGCAGTTGTTAGTCAGCGACAACGTAGAACTGCGTACGTGTTACACTTGCACGTACCCACGTCAACTTGATATGCTTGAACTATTACGAGTTTACCTAGTCGGAAAACGAGAGCGAGGATCGAGGATCCGGTGACACGACATGCTACTCAAATACGATTATCCCAACCTCCATATTTAGTAAAAATAAGAAGACGTGATATGAAGTAGAACAGAGATGTAATTGTCAATTCAAATCACATAGTGATAGAGGTAGTACACGTATAAGCAGTATTTGAAAAGATTAGGGTTCGTAGATACCATTTAAGGAGTATAACCCAGTGAAATAAACTTGAGAACAGAAAGAGGTAAGGTCATTAGGAATTTAAAAGATTAGGATTTGGGAGAACGCGAAAAATGGATGCGTGCACGCCAGAGTATAGTTGTTTGCTGAGATATATTTCTGTGCAGCAGTTCGTTCCGTCCTACTATACGGATGCGAAACATGGCCAGTGAGAGTAGAGGACATTCGTAGATTGCTTGTCTTAGATCATAGGTGAATCCGAATCATTGCTCGTATAACCTGGGACAACTGAGTAAGCAATGCTGTTGTTAGGAAACGAGTACTAGGTAAGGATGGCAGATCAATAGATGAAGTATTGTAACTTCATCAGTTGAGGTGGTTGGGACATGTGCTGCGTATGCCTAACCACTGACTGCCTCGATGAGCAATATTTTGTGGCGTAGGAGTAGGTTGGACGAAAGCTAAGGGCAGCCAAACCAAAACATAGCAGAAATCCATGAAATCACTAACAAGTGGACTGAGTCATGTTAGTAGATGTAAGCTACGTGGTTGGGGTCCGCGAGACGAAAGTAATCGACGGTTAGAGACCTTGAAAGACCTGGCTGAAAATCGTTTGCAATCGTGCAGGTGCATCCACTCTAAGTGTTCTCTCAAATTCTAACCTTATGAATTCTTCATCATCTCTATCTTTCTCTTTCTGAACTTATCTCACTCAATTATGCTTCCTGAATAATATATTCGAACCCGAATCTTCTCCATTACTGCTAATACTTCTACTATCTCTACCACTATGGGATTCGGACTGACATTTGCATTTCTGTGCTAATGTGGTATGGCAACCTGAACTGATGTACGGGTACATACGAAGTTCTCCGTTGTAACAGACTGAATGATTGATATTTCTACTCAACTTATTAAATTGAGTAAAGAAACAAACCTTTCAATAACATGCTATTTATTAATCAAACTCACAGTTATCATTTACAAATGTTTGCTTAGATAGTAGTAGTAAAGGTTACATTGAAAATATGCATAAATCTGTATCAACAACAACAACAACAAACACTGTATGAGACGAAAATTTTTTTGAAGAAAGTTTATATAGTAGAGATTACTTAAACTAATAGAAAGTACTCGTAGGAATAAAAAGCAACAGAAAGAGGTTCATTAAAATTTGTATAATTCCAATGACCAACCTACTGATCACAATACATGATAAACTTGAAACTTAATCTCACCTACATGTTGGCTTAAGATAGTCGAATACAATCATTTTGTATTGAATTATTTTGAGTGGTCAGTCAGCCAGATGCAATGTAGAACTTCGAACGTAGGTACATCACACACATTAGCAAAGAGATTTAATTGTCAATTCAAATCCAATAGTAGAAGAGGTAGTAAAGGTATTAGAAGTAATCGGAGAGGTTACGATTAGAAGAGATTATTCAAGAAGTATGATTCAGTGAGATAAGCTTAGAAAGTCAAAACTAGAGGTGTTGAAGAACCCAGAAGATTAGGATTTGAGAGAACACAAAGAATAAATACACGGACGCCATTGCAAACGACTTTGAGCCATGACATTCATGGTCTCTAACAATCGATTATTATCATCTCGAGGACCCAAACCAGGTAGCCTACATCTACCAATATGAAACAGTCCACTTGTCAATGACTTCATGGATTTCTGCCATGTTTTGGTTTGGCCGCCCCTAACTTTCTTCCAACCTATTACTACATAGCAAGATATAGCTTGATGAAGCAGTCAGTGGTTGGGCATACGCAGCACATGTCTCAACCACCTCAACTGATGAAGTTTCACCACTTCATCTATTGATCTGCCATTCTTACCTAGTGCCCGTTTCCTAATAACAGCGTTGCTCACTCGGGTGTCCCAAGATATACGAGCAATGCTTCGAAGACACCTATGATCGAAAACCAGTAACCTACGAATGTCTTCTACTCTCACTGGCCATGTTTCACAGCCATAAAGTAAGACGGAGCGAACTACTGCACAGTACACTCGTCCTTTAGTCAGCAAACGGATATCTCGCCTACACCATAAGTGACGCAGGTTAGCTCGGTGCTCTGGCTTGCTTATCATGATAACTCGACCGAGCTATATTGTCTAGAACATATGTTCCTTGTAGGACCTGCCATGTCAGGAAGGTCGATTAGAGAACCGTAAGTCCAAAAGCAGCAACTTAAGGTTTGAGGGCGAAGTCGTGCTGCTGACTGACTGCAGAGGGGTGTGACAGCAGCAAGGTGTTTCCCTCGGACAACCAGTATCTGCAACGATGCTGCCTTCTCACAAGGAAGGTAGGGGTTAGAAAAGGCCGACCCTAAAAATGTCACACATCACCTTACCCCACGGGTGGTTGTCTCTGGCGGTATGGTCATTTTAAAAGCGGAGCTAACACCTAAAAAAAATTCGCATAAAAGGGTCATGTGTGACCGGCCCCCGGCTGTTGTCCCTTGCGTTCTGTGAACACTCTCCTAGGTCATTAAAAGTAACACTAATTCAAATTCTTTTTCGGGTTCCTTAAGAAATATCCGCCCTTATATCTATTACAGTACACAAAATCAACTTGGTCACAAATCCGTATAGATTGTTTCGTGCCATATATATACAACTAGAAGAAACTAAGTCCTAATCATTTGAATTTAATAACTCCAACACGAGTTTGTGGTTAATAGTCGCTTGTTAAATTTCACATTTTATTCAATAACCTCTAAATTCATTCATTATCAGTGGTTTAAGTTTACAAAATTGTAAACTTGATTTCATTAGAGCTAAATGTAAAAATGAAATAATATTAAAGCTTTCTTAAATAATTCAAACTGAGAAATTTAGATGTAGTAATTTTCGGTGCAATAAAATGTGTCAGTCAGTCAGTCAGATGCAACGTAGAACTTCGTACGTAAGTACATCAGTTTATGTCGCCATACCACATCAGCACACAGATGTAATTGTCAATTCAAATCCAATAGTAGAAGAGGTAGTAAAGGTATTAGGTGTAATCGGAGAGGTTAGGATTAGAAGATATTATTCAAGAAGTATGATTCAGTGAGATAAGTTTAGATAGTCAAAACTATAGTTGTTGAATGCAATAAAATGTGTATAACTACTATTTTTAAAAAAACACACATAAAACTTACTCATCCTCATCTGCTACTCTTTTACGACCTAAATTAGCAAAAGCTCGTGTTGAACCACCGCCTTGTGTACCGGCAAATGCAGTATGATTGATTAGGACTTCATTAGGATCTGAATAACCTTTACTATTACGAGAACTAAGAGATGGTGGCGGTGGAACAGATGCACCTCCAGTTCGAATAAAATTTGACAATTTTGTATTCTTATAATCTGTAGACTGTTTATGTACATCAGATTTTTCATCCTTAAATATAGAATGTGTTGACAAACTGTGTTGGGGACCCGAACCAGATATGAAATTCATACCCCATCTACCTCCACGTCTACCGTATGACATTGGAAAGTAATGTATTGAAGAGAGTAGACTTGTAAGCTTGCTTGCTAATTACAAAAAGACAAATAGGATGAACGCTGAAAGAGAATGCAAAGATTTTAATTGGTAAATGGACAATAATATATATATATATATATATGGTTTGCTTGTTCTTGGCCTATTCCTATATGGATTGAATTCAATTCAAACATTTCTTTAAATTTTGAGCTATCAATTTACACTTTTTATCCTACGTTATAATTAGTTCCTTTTTTTTAATTAGATTCCTTACGTTTGGTTTTCCACTGCGATTAATACTTCTAACTTCTTCGATTTCTGTCTTTACTATGTCAATACAATGTAAGATAACTTCGATTAATACAGATTTTGAAAGAAAACTATATACTCTCGTACAAGAAACCAAACAATCAGGTGTTATAATCGAAGTAGGAGATTTTCACGTAGCAATTGAAATCAAAATGATACTTGGATGAGTCGTACATTACCTGAACTCAACAAACAGACTCAGGCAACCGTTTGCTGCATCTAAGCTCATAAAACCATTTACTTTTAGTAAATACCAACTTAAGTATAAAGAGATATCATTTGATACGAGGATTCCCGAAATTGACCAACGATGGACTTAAATATATCATATTGTCTTACTTACTTTTACTTACTTTCGCCTGTTACCCCAAATGGAGCATTGGCCGCTGACCAGTTTTCTCCAACCAACTCTGTCCTGGGCTTCTTCCTCCAGTTCTGTCCAATGTTTGTTCATTACTCTCATATCCTTCTCTATTTCACGGCGTAATGTATTCTTTGGCCTTCCTCTTTTCCTTTTGCCTTGAGGGTTCCATGTGAGGGTTTGTCTCGTGACGCAGTTAGGTGCTTTACGTAGAGTGTGTCCTATCCACTTCCACCGCTTCTTCCTGATTTCCTCTTCCACTGGAATCTGACTTGTTCTCTCCCACAGTTCGTTGTTGCTGATGGTGTCTGGCCATCGAATACGAAATATTTTACGTAGACAACTGTTAATAAACACTTGCATCTTCTGGATGATGGCTTTGGTAGTTCTCCATGTTTCCGCTCCATACATTAGAACTGTCTTGACATTTGTATTGAAAATCCTGATTTTGGTTTTGTTTGAAAGTTGTTTAGAGTTCCAGATATTTTTCAACTGTAGAAATGCAGCCCTTGCTTTGCTAATCCGTGCCCTCACATCTGCATCCGATCCACCTTTCTCGTCGATGATGCTGCCCAGATATGTAAAGGTGTTAATGTCCTCCAAGGCATCTCCATCAAGAGTGATTTGATTGGTGCATGTTGTGTTGCATCGGAGAATTTTGCTCTTTCCTTTATGTATGTTGAGATCTACTGCTGCAGAGGCTGCTGCTACACTCGTCGTCTTCTCTTGCATTTGTTGTTGAGTGTGCGATAGAAGAGCCAGATCATCTGCGAAGTCCAGATCGTCCAGCTGCGTCCTAACTGTCCAGTTGATACCGTGCTTCCCTCCAGCTGTTGACGTTTTCATAATCCAGTCGATCACCAGGAGAAAGTAAGCAACCTTGCCTGACACCGGTCTTTACCTCGAAAGAGTCGGTTAGCTGTCCTCCGTGCACGATTTTGCAGTTGAATCCATCATAAGAGTTCCGTATGATGTTGACTATTTTCTCAGGCACCCCGTAGTGTCGAAGAAGCCTCCACAGTGTTTTCCTATCCACGCTATCGAATGCTTTCTCGTAGTCGATGAAGTTGATGTAGAGTGGTGAGTTCCATTCAATTGATTGTTCCACAATGATCCGTAATGTAGCAATTTGGTCACTACACGATCGATCCTTCCGAAATCCGGCCTGTTGATCTCGAAGTTGGGCGTCTACGAAGTCCTTCATTCTGTTTAACAATACCCTGTTGAAGACTTTGCCTGGTATTGAAAGAAGAGTGATGCCTCTGTAGTTCTCACACTTGCTCAGGTCGCCTTTCTTTGGTATTTTGATCAGGTATCCTTCCTTCCAGTCTGATGGTACTTGTTCCTCATCCCAAATCTTCTTGAAGAGGATGTGAAATATTTTCGCGGTTGCTTCTACATCTGCTTTCATTGCCTCTGCTGGAATGTTGTCTGGTCCTGCTGCTTTGCCGTTCTTGATTTGTCTGATGGCCATACTGATCTCCTCAATCGTAGGTGCGCCAATATTAATTGGGAGGTCCGTGGATGCTGCTTCGATGTTGGGTGGGTTCAGTGGAGCTGGTCGATTCAATAGTTCCTTAAAGTGCTCTACCCACCTATTTCGCTGTTGTTCAGTGTTGCTGATTACTTTGCCTTCCTTGCTTTTCACTGGTCGTTCTGGTTTACGATAGTTCCCGGCGAGCTTCTTTGTAGTTTCATACAATTGTCTCAAGTTTCCGTCTCTTGCAGCCTTTTCCGCCGTCGTTGCTAGATCTTCCACGTATTTTCGTTTGTCAGCTCTGATGCTCTTCTTCACTTCCCTGTTTGCTTCTGTGTATGCAGCTTGTGCGGTAACTTTCTCCGCTCTTGTTCGGCTGACATTGATTGCTGCTTTCTTGTTCCTCCTTTCTTCAATTTTTGCGAGAGTATCAACAGAGATCCATTCCTTATGATGCTGCTTCTTGCGACCAAGGACCTCCTGACATGTTGAAGTGATTGCCTCCTTAATCCCTTTCCAATTGTTCTCCAATGTTGTGTCCTCTCCATTGTGTAGATCCTGTAAGGCCTGGAACCTTTTGGTGAGGGCTATCTTGAATTCGTTGAGCTTTACAGTATCCCGAAGAAAGGCCGTATTAAACTTGTGTGATGTTGTCTGTCCCGTTGTCCAGTGCTTCTTTAGTTTCAGTTTCATTTTGGCGATTAGCAAATGGTGATCTGAGGCTACATCAGCTCCTCTCCTGGTTCTCACATCCTCCATAGTCCTTCTGAACGTTTTGTTGATACAGATATGATCAATCTGGTTTTGAGTAGTGTGATCCGGTGAAATCCATGTGGCTTTGTGAATGCGTTTGTGCGGGAATATTGTGCCACCGATGACCAGTTTGTTGAAGGCACATAGGTTTGCAAATCTCTCACCGTTTTCGTTTCTTTCTCCCAGTCCATGTCGTCCCATGATGTCTTCATATCCAGTGTTGTCCATTCCAACCTTGGCATTCAGGTCTCCCATAAGAATCGTCAAATCCTTTGGTGAACATTTCTCGACGATTGACTGCAGCCTTTCGTAGAATTGATCTTTAACGTCGTCATTGTAGTCATTGGTAGGTGCATAACATTGGATGACGTTCATTGTAATGTCCTCTTTCTTTGTTTTGAAGGATGCTTTAATGATCCTGGGTCCATGAGATTCCCATCCTATTAGTGCCTTTTGTGCATGTTTGGACAGCATCAATGCAACTCCTTGTGTATGTGAAGCATTTTCCTCTTCATGACCAGAGTATAACAGCAGTTCCCCTGAAGCTAGTCTCAGTTGTCCTACTTGTGTCCAATGTGTTTCACTGATTCCAAGCACCTCGAGGTTGTATCGTTTCATTTCTGCCGCAACTTGAAATAGTCTTCCAGTCTCCCACAATGTACGAACGTTCCATGTACCTAAAAAAATGGTTGCTCTGGTTGTCAGAAGAGGCATCAGCCCCGTGACTTCCGAGGGAACTCGGCTTTCATCACGCGACGTCATAATTCTTCCTCCAACTCCCAGGGCAGAGTTAAAATGGTTTGAATTATTTTTTCTGGTTAGCGTTTTTTTGGCAAGTTAGTTTTTGACGGAATGGGGTCGCCAACCCCATGTCCAACCCTCCTCCTTTACCCGGGCTTGGGACCGGCAGTAGCCCCGAAGGTTCTACTGGCGGAGTTATATCATATTGTCAGCAATTATTATTGGAGAGATCCAACAGAAAACTGTTACTTATTCTAGAGTACATGTTTAGATAAGTAGAATCATATATTTGTTTGAACCTTAGGGGATGCTGAGAAAGCAAAGTAAGAGTTAGTTGCAACGTAGAACTACGTACGTATGTACATAAGTTCATGTTGCCATACCACATTAGCACAAAGACGCAGATATCAAATCAAATCCCATAGTGATAAAGATAGAAGAGGTATTAATGGTAATGAAGAAGACTAGGGTTTGAAGATATTATTCAAGAAGTATAATTAAGTGAAATGAGGTCAGAAAGACAACGGTAGAGGTGCTGACGAATCCGGAAGATTAGGCATACGTAACACATGTCCCAACCACCTCAACTGATGAAGTTTCACCACTTCATCTATTGATCTGCCATTCTTAACTAGTACTCGTTTCCTAACGACAGCATTGCTTACTCGGTTGTCCCACGATATACGAGCAATGCTTCGAAGACACCTATGATCGAAAACCAATAACCTACGAATATCTTCTACTCTCACTGGCCATGTTTCACAGCCATAAAGTAAGACGGAGCGAACCACTGCGCAGTACACTCGTCCTTTAGTCAGCAAACGGATATCTCGCCTACGCCATAAGTGACGCAGGTTGGCAAAAGCCAATCGAGCCTTCTGTATCCGTGCCGAGATTTCGTCAGTCACCAGGCCATCAGCACTGATGAGACTCCCAAGATAAGTGAAGCGGTCTACGCGTTCGACTAATTCACTCCCTATCACTAGTTCAGGTGCCGATGCAACCCAGTCTTGAAGCAACATTTTGCATTTCGGGGGGGGGGGGACCGCATCCCAAACATGCTCTCATTGTTGCTTATGGTAGTCAGAAGACTCTGCATTTTTTCAGCGTCTTCACCGAATAGAACTATGTCATCGGCATATTCTAGATCAGTAAGGGACTTTCCTGGTAGAAGGTCAACCCCTGAGAAATCTGACGAGCTTAATGTTAACTCTAAGAGGATGTCTACAACAAAGTTAAACAAGAATGGAGAGAGTGGACATCCCTGACGGA